TTAGAATGCCTTTCCATGACTGTGTGCCTGGCTACTCTGCCTTTAAGAGTCAGGCCAAGAGTGATTTCTTTGCCTTCTTATCCTGGGTCAGATGTCTCCTTTTCTGTATTACCAAACATGGTTCATAGATCTCTGCTGTGATGGACTGTTTCCAAAGATGGTCACAATAATTCCTCCAATCCCTCACAACCTTTTGTAATATGATTTTGCAAACTTGCCCTGTTAAGAAGCAGAGCCCATTTCCCTTCCCCTTGCATCTGGGCTGGCCTTGTGACTAACTCTGACAACAGAATGTGGTAGAAGTGAGCCTAAGCCTTTAGATGATGTGTGGTTTCCATTTTCACTCTCTTGGAAACCAGCCTTCATTTAAAGAAGCTTGAGTTACTCTGTTGATACTGAGAGACCACATGGAGAGGGTATTCCTGTGAAGGAGATATAAGGTTCCCAGACAACAGCCAGTACCAAGGTCTCAGTGGGTCCATATTGGATGCTCATTAAACACCATATGGAGCACAGACAGCCATCCCTACCAAACCTTTCCTGAATTCCTAGACCAGATTCTTTAAACCTAATTGTTTAAAACTATTGAATTTTGTGGTAGTTGTTACACAGTAGTAGATAATTGCAACATCTATTATAGAACTTGTTGTTAAATATTATAATTATTTATTTACTTATCTGCCACATTGGTGAGCTACTACAAATGGAGACAGAATATTTTCATTCGAATAGCTGTTAACACCTGACATATGGGATTGCTTTAGAATGATGAGCCCATGAAAAAATAGGATTCTTTAAGATCACAGAGAAACTTTGTCACATTGAGGATTTGTTAAAGGAAATAAGAACCAAAAAACAAAAGGTACTAGAGAATGATTGTGGAAGACAAGAGTGGATGAACATTCAGAGCAATTCCAAGGGATCTGCAAAACTTGTAGTTTATGAGTTCTCCTTATAATTGGTGAGATTATTGACCTCTGTTTCCATCAGTGTGCAGCCTAGACAGCCCCCACAGACATGAATATTTACAAGGGTCTGTCAGACAGCTACCACTGTGTGCAATTAAACTGTGAGTTATGGTTCTCACTGTCCAGACATTTATACTGTAACAGAAAAGCTGATGTACCAGGACATTGTGGGCTTCAGAAGGATATGAAAAATGAGGAGAACAGAAGGCTCATATTCAATGGTTATAGAGCTAGGAAGAGTTTCCACGAACCTGCCTAATCTTTCCCCTTTATCTAGCATTTACTGAGCACCAGCTGGGCGTGGCACTCCCACTCCTTCTTACGCTGAAGCCTCACCAAATTGAGAAATCTCTCAAATGCTCTGCACTCTGTCATGCCTCACAGCCTTTGCTTTCCCCCCCCTTCCTTTCTGGAATGATTTATGACCTATGCTTCCTGGCCCTTCACCTAGCAATGCTTACATTCATCTGTGGGACTCCTCTCCCTTCTTTTCCTTATTTGGCCCCCAGGAATAAACTCCCCATTTGCTCTGCCATTTCAAATGTCTCCAGATTCAGTGTGAGTCCTCCCGGCTCTACAAAGCCATCACCGACCATCCCAACTTGGAGTTTCTTAGAATGTAGTAGAAAGGGAACTGGCTTTGGGCCAATATGTTCAAATCCTGACTATGCTGCTTGTAATTCTGCACAAGTTCCTTAATCTCTTATGTTTCTTCATCTGTAAACTGGGCATGATGCTACCACTTCATGGGGCTGTAATGAGGGTCTAGGAGATGTCTACATAAAGTGTTTAGCTGAGTCCTGGTATGTAGCACACCACTGATACATGCTATTGTTTTCCTCCTCTCTAAATTTCTGGTATTTAATATCTGTATCACTCATTTGTCCTTAAATCATGCTTGCTTTGTGACAGCTCTTGTCCTGTGCCATCATTTAACTTAATGTATTTACTGTGCAATTTTAATATAAGCTTTCTCCTAATAGCTAAATGGTCTCTTCTTGTACATCTTTTTATATGTCCCAAGGACAACAGATTCTTAATAGATATTGGTGCATGAATGAATAGATGGTGGAAAGAATGACTACCTCTCAGGGCTGTCTATACTATACTTTATAAAGTACAATATTCACGGTCACGAACTCAGTGAATTAGAATAACTCTAATGTCAGGACATTTTTGTTTTCTAGGAAAGGAATGATTAGGGAAAAGTTCAACAGTTTTCCTTGATCCTATAGAAATAACAAGGGAAAATACAGATCCCATCCCACGAAAGGATAACTTGGAGGAGATGTAGTATTCAGAACAATGAAGACACTAGGACTACCTCCCCAGGTTTAGGCTTTGTTAATATGAATGGATAGTCAGGTCAAAAATAGTGGGAGTGAAAAAGCAATTATGTGAATACTAAACCCCAATTAATTTTATGGGAATTAGTAAATCAATAGGAAGTATCAAGTTTGAGTTAAGATATTAAGGGCCCTTCCATCATTTACACGGATATGCTCATGAGGAGGGAAAACAAATCCTTTAGGACAAGAGTGTTCTGTTACTGACTGAGGCTCCATCTGTCAGAAGTAAGAGGTAGGATGACATATTACAAGTGAACAAATACATGGACTTAATCAGTGATGAAAACCAAGGATCAGTGCATCCTCAGGTCATGTGGGGTTTAAAGAGAAGACAACATGTGATAGGGTCAAGCTCTGAAAAGCTCCAGAAAGGAATTGGAAGTTTTCCAGACAGAAGGAGTCTGGCTGCCTTGCTAAACTTGAGATTGGGTATGTGAGCTGGACTCTAGTGCGAGGGTATCAAAACCAGGCTACACCGGAACAAAGAGAAGGAGGGTTCTGGAGAGAGTGCCTAACAGTGATTTTCATATTCTTTTTTACGCCAAACAACCCTTTGTTCAGAGCCCTACAGGGTCCTGTGACACATAAAAGAAACAGAGGTATTGCCGTATGATTGCAAAGAAGCAGGAAAGGAAAGTATGAAGGGATCTTGGGAGAAGCTGGTAGAATCTTAGATCCCACTTCATAGGACCTTAAGCCTGGCAGACCATGTTGGGAAGACCACTGGCCTGGAATATCTGTAAGACTTTATGAATTGTTCTTGTCAACTGGCAAGGGTTTTGGTTAAGACCTGTTGGGTAAAGGTCTCCAAAGCAAAATGTACTAAAACTAGTGACAGAAGATCATGTAGTAAAGATGACTGCATCCTCCTCAAGGGGAAAACAGGCCCTTGTCTGTCTTCCTGCACCAAGATCTCAGCAGGGTTTATTCTTTCTGGAAAATATTTTTCAAGTCATAATTGAAACTTTCAGTGAAAGCCAATTTCAATTTAGTAACACCTAAATATATCTGAACCAACAGGTTCTGGATGGCCCTTCAGAGTGAGCTGTTGGAAGAGGCAATTGCCATCCTCCTATTTCCTGCTGCTTTAAGAGAGGCCTTGATGTCCAAGGGTGTTTTCAATCTTACAGGAGTACTTAGTAATGAATCTTTAGGATCTTGAGTTTCATCTTTACTTAGGAGTGGTTGTAATCACTGAGCCTAGTTTCTAATCTCAGACACTAGAAGGTGGTTACAAAACCAAGATTAGGTGAAGAAACATAAGAACGGCTTTGAAGGCCCTTCTGCCCAAATGAGAGGCCTCAGCGTCAGACTGGCCGAGAGGGTGAGTGGGTGTGTGGCCAGTGTTTCCAGCATTTCAGGGTCAAGGAGCATCTTGGGTGGTTAGCAGTCTGAATCAACACTTACTGACAAATAGATGGTGGATATTATTAGGATTGTCCTCATGAGGAAGATAGGAGATGAATGTTTTCTCTTCATATTGCGATAGGTTTCAGATACTCAGCTGGGAGAGGCCAGGCCTGAGGTTTTTAGTGGATACGTCCAAGACTAGGGTAATGCCTGTTGTTAAGAAGGGGACACATTTTGGGACCACAGCCTTTCACACACACCCCAGGTGCCAGAGCACCCCTCCCCACCCACCTCTTCCGGAAGCACAAATTTAATTTACTGAGTGGTGGGCTGGCCCCCAGCCAGCTCTGCCTGTCCTGTGATCTTAGAACAACCTGACCTTCTCCCTGGGTGGATACTGGTTCCTAAGGGATGTGTAACGCAGGACTGCCCGGGTTCCCTGCCCAGCTTCACATTTCCCAAGAGTGAAGCCACCTATTTGGCTATGCTAATTTGCTCGCGAAGCAGGTGAGCTCACCTGTGCAGCTTTAGCACAGGGCATTACGTGAGAAGGAGGGCACTGCCTTTTTATGGGTACCTCGTACACCGGGGCTCCCTCTTTGAATACACTGACAATATTTCCGAAGTTCCTCCTCCTCCTCCTCAGTACATCCCCATCAAACATTCTTTCAACGCCAAGAGCCAAGTAAGACAAAAAAGTATCAAATGGGAAAACAATGAAAAGCCTGTTTAGTTCCTGTGTGCAGTGTGAACAATAAGCCACCCTTTCTGAAGTGTTTCAGAAAGGAATGCCTGTGATGTCCTTTCAAAGAAGGACTCTGGCCCCAAATCAAGCTGTAAGCCATGACAATGCTCCACTAAACAGCACAAAGAATTCGCCTTTCAGCCAGAGAGGCATTTCTCACGTACTGGGGAAAAATGCCGCCCACACCACATCACCTCAGCACATTTACTATCACCGCTCTTTTTCCTGCTGAAGCCTGAGTGTAGCCTTCTGTGATTGATGCACGGAAATTCAGCTGACGGGTCTGAGCATTCAGCACTTTGCCCCCTAAAATACTCATGAGAGAACAGAAGTCTAGTAGATATGTTTGTATTTTGGGGAGTTTAAGGCTCTTGGGTCTGTGTGTCCGCTCTTGTACAGAGAAGACATGCTCCCCCTTAATCCACAGTTCAACTTTTTCATAGCCAAGCATTTGAAATTAGCTGAAGTGTCAAAACACATAAAACACTTCATAGAAAGGACTTTCAGTTCGGCAGCTCCAAACAGCACCAGAGAGAAAGAGGGAAATGTCCAAGTCATTCAGAGTACAGGGGAGGGCTTGCCTCTTACCTGGGCTTCTTTCACTATCCCATTCTTTGCGCAGTTTCCACCGGGTGAGCCGTCGCTCTGTTTCTCGTGCTTGTGCAGATTTCCATTGCAAACAGCACCACCTCCAGGATTAGCCATTTGTGTGAAATGATGGAATCCAGCAGGTTTTCCTCCAGAGGTTCTTGGCAAGCTTTGGTTTTGAAGTTGGTGAGGGGATGGGAGGAAGCACTTTGGGCTGAGCCCCTGAAGGAATCCTACCGATCAGGCTTTCCAGAAGAGCAACAGCCTATCTTTGGGGCAGATCTTTAAAAGGAAAAACAAGTGGTTACCTTTATACTCCTCGGCTCAGAATGTGACCTTCAGGGCAACAGACCTGCTTCTGAAACTACAAAGGATATTGCCCATGCTGGCTCCTTGGGGGGCAAGAGGAAATCAGGAGACTGCAAAACCCCAGTGGCAAACTGCGAGGAGGCGGGCTGGGAGGTGGAGCATCTTTTAAAGACACACACACACCACACACACACACAGCACAGTCACGGTCTCCTGTCTCCTACCTGTAGTCTGTTCCGAATTTATGTCTCCCACCACCCCCGCCCTCCTGTATCTAATTACAACTTTTGGTTGTAAACCTAGCTCAACTTTTTTTTTTTTTTTTTTTTTTTTTTTTCTGTGAAAAGACACTTAGCAGTGGCTGCCAGGACTGCCCAGAGGGAAAGGAGAATGAGAAGTTACTGTTTCAAGGGCACAGAGTTTCCGTTGGTTCCGTGGATGGTGGTGATGGTTGCACAACCGTGTGACTACTTAATGCCACTGAACTGTACACTTAAAAACAGTGAAAATGGGAAATTTTGTGTGATGTGGATTTTACCATAATCCAAAAATGGCAAAAAAGTAATAATATTCAGAACCCACCTGATGTTAGAACCAGTGATATAATGAGAGGTATTAACTCATCAAGCATACCAGTAGCGCACAAATCTGGGAGACAGAAAGTTTGGTTTCTTGTTAAGGCTGCAATATTTTATCATGTGACTTTGGGAGAGCCATTTACTCTCCTTTTGCCTCAGTTTGTTCAGCTAAAGAGACTAAACATTTTTGGTGGGCTAACGTCCAGTGGGGTAGCAGGAAAAGAAAAGTGTGGCTTGGGTTTGTTACTGACACAGGTGTTGTGAGGCAGATGGTGACTTAGGTGTCCCAGTCCTGAACACCTGTGGTTTACTCATTAACTCTTTCTCTCTCAGTGCATTAGGCGTCTGTGTTCTATCACCATCAGATGGCATTGTGCTTTGTTGGACAGTGTCAATCATTTACAGCCTGTTCCGTCCTCCCAAACCCACCGTTATGGTTCCCCTGAACGAGACTTCTTTAACATCATGCACTTAGGAATAAAAACCCCAGCCATTTATTGGGTCAGTGCACAAAAACAAAGACACACACATCAGCAAAAAATAAGAAGAGAAAAACAGAGAGGGCCCCTGTTGTCAGAGCCTCATTTCTTGGCTTTCAGCTCTTTTGGATAGGGTTTGTTTCCCCTCCAGGAAGATGTGGTTTATGGAGGAGGTGGTGATAATGCTTCTTCTAACCATGATTTGCATAGGAGGGTTGCCATTTTTTTCTGCCCCAGGGAGAGCTATAGGAATAAGATAAGGTTTTGGGCTAAATGATAGGATGGGGCTAATCCCAAGTGTGCCCACCCTTTTGTGTCTCAAGCTCAGACTTTTTATTGCATTTCTTCCAACTTTGTCATCAGAGCAGAACTAGCTTTTCACTGGTCTCTCTCTTCTATGGCTGTTATGCTGGGAGTCAGGGGCTAAATTTGTGTTGGCCATTTCCTTCTAGACTTATGCAAAAGGGAGATGAAAAGGTAGGGAGGGACACTGATAACTGTTGGCCTGACTGCCCCAGCTTACTTAGGAAGACAAGTTGAAGACACCGTGTTATCTTGATCCAGCTCTAATGATCCATACAAGATTATTTTTGGAATAAAGATTTTGAGATAAAACTAGCTAAATTTCTGAACATTAGATGTTTCTATCCCACCTCCTTTTCTTTTCTTCTTCCTTCTTCCCTTTCATGTTTTGAATTTCTCTTTTTCCTTTCTTCCTATCCTTGTCTCCTCCTCCTTCTCTTTTTGTTTTTCTTTATTTTCTTTTTACAAGGAGACAAAAACTGTATATAAAGAAAACATCTTAAAACAAAACTGAAATCTGCATCACTTTTCTTCCCCCCTCATCTCAATTACCAATGTTAGGTACTCACCCACCAACGTTTAGGAAATATCTACTACATGTTCTCACTCTTGAAACTTTTCTACTTTACTTGTTATGTCGGATATGTGAATTGTAATATGCACAAAATCATCTCAACACATCAACCATTTAGCGTTAGGTACTGTGGATATGTGTAATCATGGTGACTCATTGTTTCTTCAGTCAAAATAAGTGTGGAAGTCTCTTTGAGTTGAGTTGTAGCTTTGAGTTTAAGGACATTGATTACTATGGTCTGAATCTTTGTGTCCCCCTAAATTCATAGGCTGGGATTGTGACCACCAAGGTGATGGAATTAGCAAGTGGGGCAGTTGGGAGTTATTAGGTCATGTTGGGGGAGTCCTCATAAATGAGACTAGAGCTCCCTTGCCTCTTCAGCCAGGTGAGGTTCTGGTGAAACGATAGCCATTTAAGAAGTAGGCTCAAATCTTCCAGTGCCTTGATCTTGGACTTCTAGCCTCCAGAACTATAAGAAATAAATTTCTGTTGTTTATAAGCCACCCAGTGTATGGTATATTGTTATAACAGCCTGAACATACTAAGACATCAATCAACACTAAAATGCCAGCTAAATATTGGGTATGATTTAGTGTCTCTGAATAACAAAGCACACTTCAGATCAACCAGTAAACTTAATAAATATTTGAACAACTGTGACGTATTAAGTTATTTGCTAAGCCTTTTCATACAACAATGAATGGGACAAAAGCAGTCTCCAACCTCACAGAACCAAGGGTTAGCAGCACCTTCATACCTTCTACTCAAGATATCTCTGTAGTGAAAGTAAAAAGAAACCTGTCCATTCGTGTATTAAAAGCAAAGATAAAATTAGTTAACCATGACCTTGTGGTGTTCTCTGAAGGGAATTTTTGGCCCAGATGCCTACTTATAGAAGAAGGCAAGAAAGCGATGTTCAGAGGCTTGGTAATATGTTCTGAAAACACTGGCAGAAAAGAGAGGAAATGAGCAAAATAAATGGTCAGAATTGTCCAGTGCCTAGAAATCTATTCATTCTCTGTGACTTGATTTTTACTTATGTACTGGAGTGTGACGCTGATGCAAAAGCGTTAAGTGACTTTCCACAAGCCCAGGGCCATGTGGCAGAAGCAGGCGTGAACTCAGGCTAGAATCTCTGGGTCTGGAGCAAGTTCCTTTCCCACACATCATGATGGCTCTCCTTCAGACAACCATCGACCACTATGAAAAGAAATAACAGAAATTGTTATGGTTTGAGACATTTTATTGAACTGACCAAATAAGAAATAAATTTTTATTTTCCTTCCTGATCCATGAAAATCTTATGTCTATTAAATAGGTGCAAAAATCAAATGACATCTCAATACCTCCTGGGATTTGATAGTCTGAGATTCCTCTACAGAGAAGTATTTAAATTTCCTAAAGAATTCAGTCTAGAAAATTTTCAGTATCGAGATAATTCAGATCCAAATGTTTTCTTATCATTAAGTTGTAAACACCATAACATCAGAAGGCCAGATACCAATGTTACAGATGTCAAGTGTCAGTTTGGGTTTTTTTTTTTTTTTTCTTTAGGAACATTGGCTAATAGAATGGCAATGCTATTTGAAGTTAGAAAAAAACCCTGTTATTGATGACTATTACTCCAAAGTCAGCAACAGTGGAGTAATTCTGCTTTTCTTCATTTATATCATCCTCTGGGGAGTGTGTGCCTGAATCTTTGGGGCAGCAGTTACCTTCAGAATACCCCTAGCAAAGAACAGGTGTCTCCCCCAACCTATAGATGTTTGGACTCTTTGGCTATGAAACATCTGTTAAAAGAAAACCCCAAACTTATTATGCTAAGTGAAATAAGTCAGAAAAAGAAACAAAAATATCATACGATATCACTTGTATGTGGAAACCCCCAAAATAAAACAGATGAATAAACAAGCAAAAAGCAGAAACAAACCCATAAATACAGAGAACAATCTGATGGTTCCTGTGGGGGGGGGGTTGGGGGAAGGGCAAAATGGGTAAAAGGGAGTGGGAGGTACAGGCTTCCAGTTATGGAATGAATAAGTCATGGGGATGAAAGGCACAGCATAGGGAATATAGTCAATGGTATTATAATAGCATTGTCACTTGTGATGAGCATAGCATAATATATAAAGATGTCGAATCTCTACGTTGCATACCTGAAACTAATGTAACATTGTAATGTTAACATTGTGTGTCAACTATACTTCAACAACCCCTCCCCACCCCCCCCAGCCCCCCCCACCCCGCCAGATTTTCAGCGTTGAGACTCTCAAAACATCAAACTAGTTACTTCTCAGAAGTACTCCAGAGCCTCTACTATAACCTGGCTGTTCCAGATGTTTGGGGATGAACTCCTCAAAGCCACTGAATTTGGGTGAAAGCTACCTAATATTATTAATCCAAAAAAAATTTTTATTTTCGTCACTGGAGTTTCTTAGTTCCCTTAGGAAATTCTTTGCACAAAGCAATGTTAATCTACTTAAGTGGGTTTTATATTAATATTTGGCATATTAAATTACAAATTGAAAACCTAGTTAAGTTCAATCTATAAATCTTTTTTCCCTCAATCTACAAATCTTATTATGACTTTTGTGTGAAATAAGAAAACTGTGTTTGTGATTATTAATTCACTAATATTTGACTGATACATGCAGAGTAGGCTAAATTCTCCTGAAGCAAACAGTGCCATTTATAAACTCAGTTAATGCATGCCTTAAAATATGTAAAACTTAATTAAATCCTTTTAAAATTTAAAACATAACAACACTTGTATTTTATTTTCTTTTAAGCACTTCAAAAGGCTACTGGAGATACTTCTAGCCTTAATAAGCAAAACCTTGCCAAGTTAAAAAAAAACGGCTTATATAAATTAAATAAATTTAAATAAACTTATGGCAAATCCAAGTTCTCCTCAATATCCCATGTTGTCTATGAATTAATTAGTATTCTGTTAGATGTCTCAACTTAAAATTACATGACTGCTATGTGAAAGCACCTTTAATATTATAGATTTTTTAGGTCATTCACACATATGCATTATTCCTAAATTAACAGGCAAATATTAATACTATGAGTTTGAGTTTCTTTATCACCTCCTTATTAATTTCGATATTCCCAGGACTCAAAATACTATTACCTAGTTTTTTTTTTCTCTTGAGTTTTTTCTTTTTATTTTTTATTTTATTTTATTATGTTAT